TAGACGTTTTTTTTTTTTTAATATAAATCTGTAGCCAAAACTTGCGCTCTGCGCCTAAACTGCTCAGTGAGGCAAAGGCACTTAGGTAGAATCAGCCTCTGCTCGCTGTGACTCTTAAAGCAGGGATTTTGTGTAGCTAGGACTCGGTGCCCGGCTGATCTCTTCCGCTGGAAGCGACTTCACAAAGCGGCGATGTCGAGCAGCGGGTTCCAGCGTCTGCGGCGCAGGGCAGCCGCCGTCGTCCCGTCCCGTCCCGTCCTTCGGGAAGGCTGAGGAGCACCTCGGCCGGTCGAGCGGGGCCCGCGCATGGAGTCCGAGCTGGCGATTAAACCTGGGCGGTCGCCGTCGGAAACCGATGGAAGACGTTCTGCGTTTTGCCCGTTCAGGTACGCCCCGAGCAAAGGCTTTCTGATGTGGAGCTAAGTTTTGGTTTTGACCATCGGGTTCAGCCTCTAGGTGATTCCCACCCTGGGGGACCTGGTACGTGGTTAACTGAGCCAATAAGTATTTATTTCAAACAAAAGCAGAAAGCAAAGGGTTGCATTTTGTGTTAGCTTTGCTTACGTTTCAATTATTATTTTTCAAACGTTTAAAAGTTTAGACTGTTCTTGAGTATGCATTTAAACTAAGTATTAAACATTTTTTTCCTCACTGCCGTTAACCGATTTCCTCAGTTTCGGTACTCACCAGGCCGCGACGTTTAGTGACGAAAGCAGGGGAACAGGGGTGTCTTGTTGACCCGTTTTCTTCCCCGGAGAACAGGGTACGTCCATTTGGTTGACTGCATTTCTCATGCGTCCGTCCCGACCAGGAGCAGCTAGACGTCCCCTAACAGTCCTTCCCTTTGGGACGTGTCTGTCCCTGCTTGCTACCGAATTATGTGGCTGTCCCATCCACCTGAAACGGACCTCACTGAAAGACGATTGTGGTGTGTCGGTGGGCTCGAGGGGAAAGGGTCGGATCCAGGCTGAAGGAGCTGCGAATTCGAATAAAGCAGGGCCTGCAGCCGGGATCCTGGGAACTGTCCAGCCCGCGAGAGCGGGCGGTTGTGCCTCTGACTCCGCAACAACGTGCGTGGGAGTACATCTACTCAGGGTGACGTTTCGTGTGTTTTCTATGCAGTATTAAATTTAAATGTCATCAAGGGCCATACTGTTGCCTGAGTGAGAACGCAGATATTTTGAGAAAAGGAGAGCAAGCGCCCGGTGATGGTATCCCTACATGAAACATTGCCAAGACTCTAAACATGTTTTTAATCTGGGGGCGATCTCATACCCACCAAGCCGGTCCACAGGCATGATTGCAAAATACCTGCTTACCTGTCCCTGGCTGGGCTGAGCTGCAGACTGGGCCAAGCTTCTCAGCCCTTTCCACTGCTCGGCCTGGTTGGGACCATTTGGAAAGCTGGGCTTGCAGGTGTCTGTTGTACTTGACACAAAGAGACGCCCAGAGGTGAGGGGACATCTGTTTTCTCTTGACTCTTCTTTGGCGGTGGGCCCCTGGGTCTCTCTAGCTCTTCCGTGGTTTCTGACAGGAGAAAGGACACCGAATTTTGTGCCTACCTGCACAGACTGCTGGACAGCCCAGTCTTCACGATACTCATGATATGCATCATCTCAGTGAACGCCGTCTTCCTGGCTTTGGAGACCGACTACCGCCTCAGGTTGCACTCGAGTACCTTTTTCGCGGTAAGGCATGCGGGCCACGAGCCTGGCGCTGGTGGCACGTGGCCGAAGGCGCGGTGTGGCTTTGCGCTGCTGCTGGCAGCTCTTGTCTTGTTTTGGGCGATGAAATAACGGAGGACCAGAGGCCTGGGAAACATATTTCAGGGGCAAGCTTTAAATCCCTTCGCTTACTTGGTAATTATCGTTCTTAAAATGCATTTGTTAGGTCCTTTCCGTGGCAGCTCTTTTCCCCTTTGTAGTTTTAGCCCAGCTAGCTTTAAGCACCCTTTTAATATTCAATTTGCACATTGAAACTCCCTCTTGGTCACGCTCCTCTATTTCCTTGTGTTACACAAATCGGCTACTGTATGCAAACCTCTGAGCCTTAATTGCATATCCCAGTAATATATAGGCAGGCCTGGCTAACGTCAGGAAACTGGGTCGCAAGCTTTAGAGGTTTTAAAAGACTCTGACTCCAGAAACGGGCTTTGTGCCGGAGAAGCAGGCGGTGTGCGCCCAGGTCGGAGGGGCCGGCAAGGCATCCGATGCTTCGGGACGGGGCCAGGGCCCTAGC